TGTTCATCATTAGTTAATAGAAACACACTTCAACTTGTAAAAAAGCTGACTTTGAAATTATGGGAGCGTTATTATGATCAGAATTGAGCGCCCTCTGATGGCCAGTACTGGAAATGATTTTATGGGTTAATATAACGTGTTACAGTGTTGGCCATGCATGGAAAGACAAACATAGACATCATTATGAGATCTGCTAACTATTAATACAATGTGTGTTTCCTTTGGTGGAGGCCGATCTGCTCCAGATCATGAATCTGGTAACTCGTCTCCATTAACAGTGTCTGTCTGTCTGTCTGTCTGTCTGCTGCTCAGTGATCAGAGGTTTACATTGGATACAACTAGAGATCCTACTGGAGGGTCTGCTGAGGATTTATTTATTACTGCTGGGTCGGAACATTACTTCATGAAAATTATATTTGATTTAAAATTTCAATACTATGACTTGTAATTTTGTTGGCTTTTCAAACTTTTAAAGTTTAAAATTGTCTATTTTTGACTAAAATACATTGTTTTTCTCTTGTGAATATCTTAAAGCTTCAGTGATGAGAGAGGAAGAGGAAGAGGAAGAGGGCGGTCCGTCTTTATTCTGAGTCTCCAGTCAGACATGAAGAGAAACAATGAAGGAAGCAAGTCAGAGTCTGCTGCTCTGTAAGTTCATGTCTGCTGATTGATTTAATGATTGATACTGTCTGATTATTGATGATGATGATGAGGATGAAGGAGAAACAACTGAATTAACATCATTAGGTTTAAATTTAGTTAAAGCTACAACGATCTTAACCCAGTTTAGAAAACTATTAAAATATAAAAAATCTGGACTTGTATCCTGGAGGCCTGCTGGTCGTCTGATTCATCAGTTTTATACAATCACTAAACTTTAATTTAAACCAGTTTAAATGTTTGTTCTCTGTAGGTCTGAGTTTCCTGCTGGGCTGCAGATTAAACCAAGGTTAGAAACTTTTATACTTCATTATTTCTAAGAGGCACATTATAAAGCATTAGGTATGTTTTACAAACACAGATTATAAAACCAGAAAAATATGTGTGCTATTTTCGGAGATTCCTAAATCTTATTTGTGAAAAATGTTTTTATCTGAATCAGTGATTTTATTTCAGTCTCTCCAGCTGCTCTGACTGTGAGTCCCAGCAGATCTCAGTTCTTTGAAGGAGAATCAGTGACTCTGATCTGTGAGGATGAAAACAGCTCTGATGGAGGAACTGTGAGGAGAAACACAACCTTAGAGACCAGGACTGAATGTGATAAAGATGGATGGTGGAATAAAAATGGATCTACCTGTAAAACCAGCAGCATCAGAGAACATGACTCTGGCCTGTACTGGTGTGAGTCCATGTCTGGATCCTCCAGCAGCAGCAGCATCCAGCTCTCTGTCTCTGGTAAGATCAGACTGTGGAGTTAGTGTTGCTGTGTGGAAATGGATGAAATGCTGTAGTTTGTCTCTGTGTTGAGGTGGATCAGTGATCCTGCAGAGTCCTGTCCTCCCTGTGATGGAGGGAGATGACGTCACTCTGAGCTGCAGAGCAAAGAGTCCAGCCCACAACCTCCCAGCTGCTTTCTATAAAGATGGCTCCTTCATTGGTAATGAAACTACTGGTAACCTGACCCTAAACTCAGTGAAGAGATCTGATGAAGGCCTCTACCACTGTAACATCAGCGGTCAGGGAGAGTCTCCATCCAGCAGGATCTCTGTGGAAGGTCAGAACTGCTGATGATCATGACTTTCATTACTGACTTTAATTTATAAAGTTTCATTATATTTATAAACATCTTTATTTCAGAGAAACCCACCTCATCTCCTCTTCTTGTCATCATGTTTCCTCTCGGATCTTTATGTCTTGTGTTTCTACTGGTGTTACTGGTTCTGCTGGTGAAAAAACATCGTCTCAAAATAAAAGGTGAAACAAAAACTTCTTGATTCATAAATATTGTTTTCATTTATGTAATTTTTAACCTATGGTTCTGTTTTATTAAAAAAATATCCTTGTTGAAATGAAAAAGTAAAGCCCAACATTTCACCATCACTGGTGAAATATGAGGAACTATTTCCTCATAAAACGGAGCCATTTCCTGAAGCAGTGAATTGTGGGTAATCTCTGTTTCTGATAAAGGAAATGACATCACATACAGCGACGTCCAGATAACTCAGCTTCATCATCAGAGAACCAAAGGTGAGGATGATGATGATGATGATGATGATGATGATGTTTCTGAGGTCTAAAAACATCCACAGTAAACTTTCCTCTTAAGTCCTTATTAATCCTGATCGTATAACTTCCTCCATGTTTCTGATTTTGCTGCTTTATTCAGTTTGCTGATAGATCTCCAGACCCTGAATGAATGAGGTGATCTGTTGCCATGGTGACTGTCAGTAGGAATGAATGAGGTGATCTGTTGCCATGGTGACTCAGTAGGAATGAATGAGGTGATCTGTTGCCATGGTGACTGTCAGTAGGAATGAATGAGGTGATCTGTTGCCATGGTGACTGTCAATAGGAATGAATGAGGTGATCTGTTGCCATGGTGACTGTCATTAGGAATGAATGTTTTGATCTGTTGCCATGGTGACTGTCAGTAGGACCAGAACCAAGCCGCCATGTTGGTCCGTCTCTGTCTGCAGTCTGTGGTTGTTCTGCTGAACAGACTAGCAGCTCTGTGGTCGTCCAGCTTCCTGTTTCTGATCAAAACGTTTCCTGTCACACAGAACAGTCTGAGCTGACCTTTGACCCACAAACACCAGAAAACAGGAACTCGGATATCTTCTGCAGACATTTTGGTTTTATATGTTTAATGAAATAAACTCAATCAGAAACTGGTTCATTAATTCATGGAAGGAGATTTAATTCATGCTGAGCTTTTATATTTGCTTATATTTCTTTAATTGGATTTCACATAAACTAAGTTATAACTTTTATTTTCCAAAGTACCAGCAGGTTTAGAACCTGATCCTGGACCAGAACCGGCTGGTTCTGTGGCCCAAACAGACTCTAGCAGAACTTTCTTCACAGTCTTTAATTTAAATCTGATAATCAGTTTTAATGTTTCTGTCTCTCTTCTGTCAGACGGGACGGAAACCTTGGCTCAGTTCCTGAGGTCAGAGGTCAGAGAGGAAACCGTCCGGTTCTGGTCGGCCTGTGAGGAGAACAGAACCTCTGGTCCAGAAGCCCGGCTGCTGTCCAGAACCTCGTATGTTTCTAGAGTCGTCGTGGATCCAGAAAGCATCAGACAGGTAGATGGAGACGAGTTGATGAACCACGTCTGATTTATTCTGATTTTATTTCTGTTTCATCTGAAAAACGTTTTGAATTCAT